GTTGGAAGAAATCGAATATTTCCCGACATTTTATAGGAAATGTCGGCAAATATAGATTTTTTCCCAATGTTTGTGTAGAAACGTCGGCAGAACTTATAATTGTCCCTACGATTTTATTTTCGTCGCGAAAAAATGACTTCTCCCGACGACTTTTTAATGTTGGAAAAAAATTTGTTGGGAAAGCAATAAATTCTTATAGTGCCATGTGCATTTGTTGTTTCCATATAATTCTGATGTAATACATGAAATTCACATTTATATAAGACACTACAATTTCTCTCGCTCTCGTTCTCGTTCACGGTGATATTGTCGTTCACATTCTTGCTTACTCACAATCACATTATCACTATCTGTCTCGTTCAATGTCTCACTCTCGCTCTCACTCTCACTCTAGCTCTTGTTCTCACTCTATGTCTCGCTCTTATTGTCGCCCAACTGAAGGGGCAAGTGACTTGATAATAGTTTCCTTCGTTTAATTCCGCTATTTATTTGGGTTTATTGAAGTACTTTTTCGTCCCATCGTCCCATTAAGCCATACCTACCTATCCATGTACATAATAAATGGAGCCTCCTTTATGTATATATACAAACACACAATGCAAGGCTGAACACATGAAATTTATTGGAATAATAGAATGACGGGCAAAGTGTATGCCCAACAACCGATGGATGCATGTAGTTCCAAAGAGGAAATGCTAACTCAGTTGTTGTCCATTGAATCGAGACTTTCTGGAAGGCTTGATGAACTAGAACGTACATGTCACACATTCGAAAGGATGACGGGTAAAGCATATGCATGGGCAGATAGGTTGGAGGAAGAGAACAAACAACTCCAAGATAGAGTGGCAACATTGGAAACTTGTTTGTGCGCTTTGGAAGAATTGTAGCCATAGTTATGTGTTTATTTTTCCAACCTCAGTATTGTTATATTTTATGTATTTTGTGATCGTGTCTTTATTTCCACATTCCTATTGTTGTCCTAGCAATCAAATTACATTTTTGTCCCGTTCTAACTCTTTCATTAATTCAGTCGGAGTCCTATGTTGAGTCTAGTTCAATCTGTTTTCATTACTTCTCTTTTCTAACTTATAACAAGGCTAAAAACAACCAAGAACGAAGGGAAAGGCGATTAGTGTAGAGTAAATATGTACTGCATTTTCCCACTAAAATATAAATGTAAAAACGTACACATGTTCTCCCTCTCATTCTTGCTCAAGCTCAAGCTCTCGTTCTCGCCCAGTTCTAACTCTAGCTTTTGCTCTCGCTCTCTTTGTCGCTCCATCTCTAGCTCTGCCACTCTCCCTCGCTCTAACTGCCCTCGCTCCCATTCCCACTCTCGTAGTCGCACTCGCTTACTGTCTCCTCTGTATCAAGCTTTCTCTCTGACTACGTGTTTGCTCATGCCAAAACCTAAGACCTCGTCGTCGTCTTACGTGGTAAATTGCTCAAGATACAAGCAAGAGGAAGTATTTGAACAGTAGTAAGAACTTAACATGAAACCGGACCCATAACATAATTTATTGATATATAACACATGAGAACTCCAAAAATGATTATTGGCATTAAAGTAAACAAGAATATTTATTACAGATACTGTCAATCGAAAACTTGTGAACCAGGCTAATACCATGAAAAGTAAAAAGGGACGGGGAATCAAACGTACATCTCGAAACCCAACAAGGGAAAAGACGATGGTACATCGACAAGATGGGGGGCTATGAGACACAGAGAGAGAGAGAGAAAACGATGGAAGAAAGATAATATGAAAAACGAAATTTCAAATGAAAAAACGCGAGGGAAAAATAATTTGAATATTTAGTATAGTGGGTAGTAGTGGAGGGGTAAGGGAGTAATTTGACATTGAGAGTGATGTTAGCAAATGTTTAGGAAACATAAGTTTTATGGGTGATGACATATTTCATAGTGGGTTTTCTAAATGGCTATTCGACCTAAAACCCGCCTTGAAGTTAATTAGAGAGAATAATTAGTGAGAACTCTTTTGTTTGTTTTTTTGCTTTATAAAAACTAGGGGTGTTCACGGGTTGGGTTGGGTCGGGTTATGAGGGGTTTGGGACCATCCCGAATTTTCGGGTTGGCTATATATCGGAACCGTCGGGTTTAAATTGGATGGTCAACCAACCAAACTCAACCTAATATTTTCGGGTTGGGTTGTCAGTTTTTGTTTCTTTTTATTTTTTATTTTTAATTATCACGACAGCAATGGGGAGTTAGGATTCAAACTTAATGGACAGTTGAGATTAAGATAAAAAACTGGAAGAAGATAATATGAAAACCTTAAATGAAGGACGATGATTAACACTAAATGGACGATAGCATTGAAGATAAATATATTATTTTATATATATAATTAAGAAAAATACACATATATGCATAAATTCGGGTTGAGTTTGGTTGGATTGACCTGATTTATTAAAAGTTGAACCCGAGACCCAACTCAACCCGATCGGGTTGGGAAAATCACAATCCAACCCAAGGCTTCATCTAACCCAACCCCATCCTTATGGTTTGAGTTGGGTTCGTCGGGTCTTCGCTTGCAACCTCAATTATTTCATCAAACTTCTATTCATTCTTGATTTTGACTTGGACTTCAAAATTTAAAATTGTTCCATAGCTGTGCTGTGTATAGTTCTTTTTTTTATATTATATAATTTTAATCTTGAATATTATGACAGTATTATATTGTATTATTTCAAGCCATCATTAACATTGTGCAATACTATTTGAGTTGTGTTAGAATAATCCTGTCCGTTTCCAACAGCTGTTCTTGTGAGGGACGGACGGCTCATTAGGAATGCCAAATCAATTTCCAGATTTGATGCTCAACCTTCATTTTCTGCTGCAATCTTTTAACAACTGTAATGGTGTGGATGAATCGCCCCTTTTATTTGTCAACGTTGTTCGCCAATAAAGAATAATGTAACAAGTTAGAAGCTCTAAGTCAGACATAACTCAATTGGTTAAGACAGAGGTTCAAATTCCCACTAAAAAGTTAAAGCGTTATTCCAAGGAAAAAATCAAATTGCTTATGCATGTTTGACTCACGATTTTGAGTAGTTGGGTAATAAAGTTTGGGATTGAGAAATTTGAGTGCAATTTATATTTCAATTATACAAAAGAATTTGTTAGGATTAATAAGCTTTTGATCATGTGTTTAAACAAGTCTAAAGTGCGAGTCAAGCACTCTTATTGTGTCAGTTCATCAAACATGCTTAAGAAGAATCTTTTAGAATACAATTTTTTAATACAAATGATAGAATAGGGATAAGACATTGGGACCTGTACGGAGAGGTTATTAATGTCTTAAAATTGTTTAGTTAGGCTACAAGTTTCTTTTATTTAATGTGTGGCTGTCGCAATTAACTGCTCTCCATAGAATAGTGTAAAATCATGAATCATAAAAATATACATAATTTTCATTCATTCATTTGATTTATGTGAGGTTGTTAAAAAAGAATGTAGGGTAACGTATAATATATGGTAATTGAATGTACATGTAACTAAAAGGGTAAAACTATAAGAACTCTTTTTGATCCCTCGTAGTTGAGTTGTTGAAATCAGAAATATTCCTTGTGGAACTCGAATCGAGTGGCAGTCTTGCGAGTGAATTCGAGCGAGAGGGCGTTGAGTTCCTTGGCTAGCAACGGCATCCCGCAGTAGAACACTCCCACCGTCTTGTAAGCATGTTTCGATGCTATTCTCCCGAACACTTCCTTCCACTCCGGCCTAGCAAAGTGAGTCCTCGCCTGCATACCAGCCATTTTCATCATCCATTTCAATACCAAAAGTGAAACCGAGGGTTGTGAAGGTATCATACTCGAGTTCCAGAGAGGATGTCGACGCCATGTTTGGCATGGTTGAGAGCTTGAACCATGGTGATCAATGTGCTCCTTGCGTCACTTTCGTCGTACACGCTCGTCAGGTAGTTGTGGAGTTCGATTTGGCCCTGATTCATTCATTCATTTTATAGCTAAGATGAGTAGATTATGATGCATATGCTTTTACTTTTACTATACCTACCTTTCTGTCCATCTCTGCTACTTCATCCATCACCCCTTTGAACCACTCCAAAGAACCGGCTTCCCTCGTCACCCAATAGAAGTAAGCTTGCGCCTGCCCCGTCCCCGTCCTACTTTGAAACTTCCTCTTTCCACTTGGCGTCGTGTTTAAGGAACCAAAGCTGTTTGAGCTGTCTTCTGATCTGGTTGTTTCTGTTGTTGAACCCTGTATCAAATCGTAGTTAAGCAAGCAAAATATCTATTCTCTAGAGGAGCGAAGGAGGAGGGAGCCATTTTCCCCTTGGTTGCAAAAAAGGCAAGTTTTTAGTTTACCGTTGGCGTGTGTTCTTCCATGGTTTTGGTGTTGTTGAGAAGATCCTTGAGGATGCTGACGAAGGGGGTGGCCCCAATCCCGAGTCCGACGAGGAGAAGCACGTCATAGTTTTGGTAGTCTTGTGCGGGCGCTCCATATGGTCCATCCACCAGCAATCTCGGCTGGCTGCATCGTTACAAATTTTTTAAAGTCGAGTAACTAAATAGACACAACTCTTGAAGTTCTTAAACTTAGAGTTTGGAATTATTAACCTTTCTCGTTCCATCTTGACCAAGTGGCCGAGTTTGGCCCTGCCGGGGAGGGGTTTGGAGTTGACATGGTCGGTGAAGACGCACTTGAGCTCCCTAGTCCAGTCGCCCACAGTCCTGATGTGCACGCTCAGATACTCATCTCCTGGCGCTGAAGTGATAGAAAATGGGTGCCTGAGCAGGTTGTTTCAAGGTTACATTATTTTTTCTTTGCGGAAACAACTGACATTTGGAGTACATTTCCGACACTCACCATTCGAACTGAGAAATTGCAGGACATTGAAGGAATATGTACTGCCCACTTCTGTATTTGAATCCTCGAGGCTTCAACATCACCAAGCTGAACACATTCCCCGGCAGCACCGAAACCTGTTCGATACCCAACATGAGCATAGCTCTATTCTTAAAGTCGGAAGTTCAAATCTCCAATTAAATTACCTTCAAAATCTCAACAGAGTAATACTCAGATCTGCAGGCTCTAAGGCTCCTCTCCCCAAGATAGAGCAGCAAAGGAATGGAGATATACAGCCACGTCTACCACCAAACCAAAACTCAACGAATTGAAGCAAAAACAAAAACCAAAATCAAACAGAGTTCTTAGTTTCATAATCATTTCATAGCTTACTGTTTTCTGAGCCCAGCTGTGAGCAAGGAACAAGAAAGTCCCATGTACAAGAAGCAGAACATAAACAAAACCCAGAAGGTGATGCGAGTACCAAAACGCATTGAACCCCGTCAACCTGTTCAACGGCCATGGCAGCCTCACAATGTTTCTCCGAAACCGGTGCGTCGCGAGCGTA